CTCTCTCTCTCTCTCTCTCTCTTCTTTCTTTTCTTCTCTCTCTCTCTCTCTCTCTCTCTCTCTCTCTCTCCCCCGCTCCATTGGAATGCCTCCGTCGTACGCTTACTGCTGTAGCTTCACTGAGCATCAGCAGAAACCAAAGAAGCAAAGACACCTTCCCGGTGTTGTTCGTGTTGTTTTTGTCATTCCCTTCCTGTCGTCGTTCAACTCCCCCTGCTTTCTCCACAGGCGCTACAGAGGCGTGGTGTCGTTACGGGCACGCTTTGTGGCGCCCTTTGCTTGCTGCATCGACGCCGGCAACGGTGGCGGCGGCCGAAACTCCCCCGTCGAAGGGTCATACGACTCCATCACTTCATACGGGCCAAGTGCGTCTAGCTGTTTGGTCACGACGGGCGGCTGCCCCTGCGTCACCTTAGACAACTTGTGGTAGTGACGGCAGAAAACGTCCGCAACATGCCGCATTGTGGGATGATAACTCCTCGTCAAAAGACCAATCTCCCACGTAAAACTACTTTCGGCATTCGAGGAAGCAGTCTGTAATGCCGCTGGGTTGTACGCCCCACGGCCCACAATGGCATTGTCGTTGCCACCAATGACAATGCCAGCGACAGCAGGATAGCGCAGCATGAGACGGTGAACTAGTGCGAGCAAGGAAAGTCCAATGTGCGGCGGACACGACGGAATAGCCTGTATAAGGCGACGAACAAGGGCAGTGACACGGGGGACAGGCAAATGTTTTTGTGTCAATACCAACAAATCCACGGCGCGTAGCACCAAACTCACGCGGAAAGTCCACTCTTTAGAGGCATTGGACTGCATGAAATTTGCTTGCGCCATGGAATTGGCAATCGAAAACGCCTGAGACGAGAGCGAACCTGCGGATGAAGTTGAGCCTTGCGATGCTGTGTCGTCAGCGTCTGAGGCTTCTTCTACGTCATTGGCTTTTTTTTCGGTGTTACTCTTTGGGATGTCAAGCGCATCAAGGAGGCAGCGGAAGAGGACTTCATGGAAGTAACTGAGATCCACGCGCCACTCACTGACAGTCGCGGTGGCATCCCTCTGCGCCAACGTCGCAACCGCCACAAGAGCATGCAACTTCGTTGTCATAGATGTCGCCTCGCTATTGACAAGGTCTTTTAAGGCAGTTAGGAGTTGATGGTAGAGCTCCACATTAACAAGTGGAGCAAACTTCACCAGTCCCTCCAGCGTCGGCGCAAGAATCCGTGTTTGATGCTGCTGGGAACACGACTTAGATGCTTCCATAACGCGCAGATAAATGACAAACACACGGTGCAGAATTCGACCTTGTTTGACGGCCACCTCAGCCCGATCCCTACGGGCCTTACTCTTTTGCAGTTGACGAGCCAACTCTTTATCTTCTTTTTTGAGTCGCTTGTTTTTGGCCTTCTCTTCAGTCAAGTCCCGGCGATGAATGTCCACTAACGCCACACGGATGTGGAGGAGGAGGTGAAGTAGCTTGGGATTCATCGCATAGCTCTGCTTGCGCACAATGTCTAGCATGGAGGAGACAATAGATTCCGTGGCATCCGACACCATCTGCCCATCAAGGAGTTCTGCAAGGGCTGTCAGTGCGGGTTGGGCAACCCGCGTGGACTTTGCGTTTGCAAACTGTACTGCCAGCGACAGCAGTTTATCGGCGTGGTTAAACTCCGCAGCTCTATTGATCAACTGGGCGCACAACCGACTTCCAAGTGCCTGCTGCTCCGGATGCGTTTTCCGTTGCAACTTGCGAAGAAGCTGCAGGAAGTGTTCATATTGTGCCAGCACTTCATGCTCCAGCTTCTGTACAAGGTACACCTCCTTCTGCTTGCGACCCCCATTCCCTCCATCCTCGTCTTCCAGAGTGGCGGATATCTTATAATTCGGGATCACATCGCAGAGAATAGCACACTCCTTGAACAGGTTCTCCACCAACTCGCCGTACTCCGCGACCGTCGTGTTATGCAGCACGTGGAGCTCCTTCAATTGGTCCTGAAGGTAGGACGTGTTCATCAAGTACCGCTGCATGATTGGCGTAGTAGTCTCACTGTTGCCACCAATAACGAAATGGATCCGCCACCGCCCTCTTTATTGTTGTTATGATCACCACTATTATTATTATTATTCTTTCCGGAAAATTCCACCCCCCGCCTCACACTTTTTTCTCCGTTGCCGCCCCGTCTTCCTCTTGGATGTCTCCTCCCCTTTTCTTTCTTCCCGTTCGCCCCACCCCCCCTCTCGCACAGCCCACAAAAAAAAAAAAAAAAATCGTGGAGCTGCAGCTCCAAAACAAAAACAGAAAATAATAATAATAAAGCAAATATCACCATAGGCAACGTACGTCCTCCTCTTCTAACGCCACCACCACCACCCACTGAAAGCGTTGCGTCCAAATAAACAACGTGACGGCAACGCCTAGTAGAGTTTTGTATATCTACTGGGAGGGAAAGGATAGGAAAAAAAAAGCAAAAGACGTCGGTCGCACAATCGCAACTCTCCGTTTCGGGGGCGAAAGCTCAGTAGTTGAAGTGTTTTTCGTTGAGGCCCTGCAGAGCGGGAATGTGGTTCTTGACGAGTCCAAACACAATAGCCACAGCCGTTACGCCCACGAAGGAAATGATGGAGCACTTGATGAGTGGTGCGTCCCTGTTGTAGCACTCAGCTTTAATCGTCGTTGTGCGTTTGCAGTTCCGGCTGGAACATGTTGCCGCCTCCAAGACGGAGATCACCTTACACTCATCCAGGTGCCCTGCAACGCTTGGAAAAGCTTCGTCACTCTCGATACCCTCAAAGAGACGGGCTGTCTCCCTGCGCACCTCCTCGCTTCGAATGTGGGCGTTGCAAACCGCGGTACTGCATTGTTCACAGGAGGACACAACCCAGGAGACGTTTGGCATGGGTCTGCAGCCGCCCTGGTAGCAACAGCGGCAGGTACACACAATAGAGCTGGTGTCCATAACACCAGGTGACTCCTCGGCCACCACCACCGTCGCAAACAGAGCGTACAAGAAAAAAAACAGCATAGCCATTCTTCTCATCCCTCCTTCCCCTGTCACTCCGCAACCGCTGCTACGACGCACTCTTCCTACACTGCACTGGTGGTTGTTTGTTTGATTGTTCACAGGTGGTGGATGTTCATTTCGAGTGAGGTCGCAAACAAGCAAAAACAAAAGAAACAGTAGCGGTCCCCCATCACACACACACACACACACAGACTCACTCCGCATCAACTCCCTTCTTACAGCTAGAAGCGAGAAGGGAAACAATAAAATCCTGTTCCCCCGTGGGAACAAATCAAGAAGCATCCAACATGAAAGACGTCACGGGCAGAAATACCAAAGACGAAAAAAAAAAAAGTACGCAGGAGCCCCGCGCAAAGTCCTCCGCAGATACAAACGAATGTGACAGGTGTGCTTCTATTCTTTCCCACTCAGCGTGAGTGGGATTCTCAACAAAGAAAAATAGAACAATAAAAAGTACAGTTAAAAACATTACAATTCTTTCTCTCTTTATTTTCGTTCCTTATTTCTAGTATGTATCTAAAGCGTAAACGTCAAAAAAAAAAAAACAAGAATGTAGTCTAAAAAAGTTCCATCGAGTACTGCGGATCGGTGGCAAACTTCGGCATGGGCGCCGAACTCTTCTCGTCCCACCATGCCGCACTGTTCTCCACATCACCTGTGCTTGGGCCACCACTGCCACGAATCTTTCGGCGCCCACCAGTAGAGAGGCGACCGTCGTTGGGGTCGTGAGCCCCCATCACTTGACGTATCTCTCGCACGGCGGTCTCATTTTTTTGTTCCACAAAACATTCCGGGATCACCACCTGACCGTACGGAGTCCTCTGATTGGGCGGTAACGCAGTTGCATCGCACTTGTCGGGTGTCATCACAGAAGAAAGTGTATCTAACTGCCTCTGCATACCGCCCAAGTCTTTAATAACTGAGGAAACGCTCTGCTGAAGAAAAAATTGGGCCCCAGAACCCAGCTTTGCTGCTGGGGTCTGCAACATTGCCTTTTGTGCCTCACTTCCCGTCAAATCTGCTTCTCTCAATTCGCCTTCTATACGTCTTCTCTTGGAAGCAGATAGTTGATTTTCAGCTTGTATACCAGATTGCACCTCGTGTGGTTTCGGCTTCTCAGTGGTCTGGATCATAGTCAGCCGTGCCATAACGGTTTTGCTTGGAGCCGGCGCATGCGTGGCATGTGGAACACTGTAATTGTTTGGTCTTCGCTCCATCGTGACAGGAAGAATAGTCGTATGCAGTGGAGCCGTTGTGGCAAATACGCGTCCCTGGTGTGGTTCATCGTAGTTATTCGCACCGGCAGCCACAGCCTCGGCATTTTGTGTGCGTGTGATGTGTAACGTCTTTTCAAATTGCTGCAGTTCATGAAGAACAGATTTCGCCGCCTGATGGGTGGCTAAATACTCAAGGACGATCCCAGAGGGAACTGCAACGCCGTCCACCTGGGGCGTGGAGGCCTGCAGTGCCGGCAAGGCCAAGTTATCGATGGGTTCCTCGTCGCCGCCGTCCTCCGCGTCAAGATCAGGTTCACGCCAAGAGTCGGCGACGCTGTCATTGTTGCTGCCGTTGCCCTTTACAAAAGTCAGCCCTTGCTGACGGCGTCGACTACTCTCGTTTTGCGCAGCTTCAGCATCCGCGGTGGGTGCACACTCGCCCTCTCGTCCGAAGAAGTTTTCGCTGACGCCCGAAACACCGCCTTGCCACTCCTGATAGCTGGTTTGCACCCCACGGGACTCCAAAGAATGAGGCGCTTGGGCCTCCACTGCCGTGTTCTTGCCCTCAGCACTTTGCATTGAACGGACGATGGGAAGTGGTAGCTCACTACAAGACTCCTTCTCTAAGCTTGCGTTGGCCCCTTCCACATTGTCCACGAAGACAAAGGACACCTCACGCGGTCGTCTTTCGCGCACCGAAACAACGCCGCTGGCAGGTGAGGTCATGGTGCTTTGCTCATTCTTAGAAGACAACAACGTCTTCTGCGAACGTGGCACCGTCGATTCCTCTGACTCTTGCTGTCTCTCTTCTTCCTCTAATAGTGGGTCATACACGGCCTGGTTTTCTTGCTGAGTCACAGAAAGTTGAATTGGAGACCCTGTTTCATCATCTTCCATGTAATCCCCGAACACGCTATTGTCAGATGGCTGCTGGAGGGCACCAAGGAGATGCTCTTCCCGCCTGGTATCCTTCACAGGCGCACCACCAGTGAGCACCTCCACGTTCTCCCTTGTAGTGTCGATATCGTCGTTGAAGACGGACGAATCCACGTTACACTTCTCACCTGTTGTTTCCTCCACAAGACGTTTCGTTTTGTGGTGCAGACGGTGAAGCAGTTGATAGAACCCGGTATTTTCCTGGCGAACCAATGGCCCTAGCTGAGCGAGACGTGGCAGCTGCCCGCGAACAATCGCGGTTGTCTTCGTCACAGCATCTGTAAACTGACTCGTGTCTTGTCCTGTCTCAGCCGCCAGTTCAACGGCCTCAGGACCCGTGCCACGCTGCACCACAACCGTCAACAACTGTGTACAAATGTAAAAAAGGCAAGCAAACCGACCAGGCGGGTGATGTGGCTGTTTAACCCACTGCGAAATAGTGTGTAACACAACGCGTGCAAGAGGCGGGTTACGTTTCATCGCCTCGTACGTCATCACAGCAAAAAGGTGTCCGGTCGCTTCAGCTCCATCAATAGCCACGGCATCGGCTGGTGCCGCAATGCGAAAGCGCTGCGATATCGACTTTGCTAGAGCTGCCATAAAGGCAATACGTGATGGAGCAGACAACTTCATCTGGTGCAGGAAAAAAGACCAGAACGTGCTACTGGCGCCCACAGGCAGCGCGTACTCGCAGAGGGGTTGTATTCCCACTGGAGTAAAACCAAACGGGGTTAACAATGACTCAATAATGTTCGGTGCCTGGACGTTGAAATCCTGAATAAGTTTGCAAACACAACACCCTACTAGCTTGTGCGTCTCGTCGCTAAAGCTGTGTGAGCGATCTATGATTTTAAGCAGCAGCTGCGCATTGTCGGCGGTTGTGTTGCACATCGGGGCACAACCAGGAAAGTTGACACAGTAGTTGTTCTCTGCGGGGTCGGTTGGAAGCAGCTCCACATTTCCTTTTCCTTGTCGAAGTAAAAGATTGGCCATATACCACAACGTCAACGCATCGTGGTTGCTGCGCAGTCGCACCTCACAAAACACGCGAAGAATACTCTCTACATATGACGGCTCAAGAGCATTTGCAAAAAGAACGACAAGCTTCACGTGTAGCATTAGGACGTTAGCCTTCTGCTGACTCCCTACCAAACCGGCGTTGGACGCCCGATCGGCACTCACCAGTGTCGTGAGGGTACTGCGAATGTACGGCTCCAGCACCTGAAAGAGTGTGTTGCGGTGCTGCCCAGCATGAGAGAGAATGTGAAACAGTAAAAAATGGACGGCACTATCCATCTGGGTTGCCGGGTCACGCAGCAGTTGAATAAGTTTCCCCTCCACTGAGGCCATCCCAGCACACTCGGCAAGCGTCGTCAAAACCCGGCCCACAGAAGCCTGCCCTGTCATATGCATTGTGCCGTTCACCTCGCACACAGGTGAGGCACCCCGACCCAAGCCGCAAAAAATACATAGTGCAGTTACATCGCGTAGGTGCGCCACTGCAGCATCCATCGCCTCCTCAATGTGCAGCTGATGTAACACCATGGCCAGTTCCGCACAGATTAGCTGGGGGTCTACAGCTGCCTCAGTGAGATCGTCAAACGCCTCCATAGCAAGCTTTCCAAGTGCTTCTACTGTTTTTTCCGGTACTGCAATGTGAAGCGCCTTGTGCATGTCCGTTGCACGTCGTGATGCGGTGATGGAACAGTTCCGAACCACTTCGCGAAGCAGAAATAGCACGCTGTACACGCTTGTACGATTTTGTAGCGCAGTAGCAACATCATCGGCGACGTCCCTCCCCGTCATGGCAAGTCCTGCACCACGAACAAGCACAATAATAATTTTGGCAAACATGGCCACAGACATGCGCGTATCAACTGCCAATGTCGCTGCAAAATAGGCGGCATGAGGCATTTGGCAGTTAATAAGCTCTACCACCTCCATGGCACCGTCTATCTCGTCCTCAAACGCCCACTGCATGATGGCGCACAAGCAAAGGTAGTACGGATTTGAAGGACTCATTCCGGGAGTACACTGCCGGAGCAACTCCCCGCAAAGATGCTGCCGGGTTGCGGGAATTTGTACAAGTAATTGCATATCCGGACCGCTTAAACTTGGGTAAAGAAACCGTTCCACGTATTCCCGCCTAATAGGTGAACGGAATCGAAGAAACAACTCACTGCAGTGAATGGAAAGGGCCCGTCCATACGCAGGCCCTCTGACCGGTTCAGGAACCGCACGCTTCAGCCGTTCATAACAGGACAACAAAAAGTCTACATTCATTCTACGAGGTTTAGTTTTAAGAACATACTGCAGCGCTGCGACCTGCTCATCCATGCGAATGGTGCTGACTGTATGTACAATAAGCGTGAGAGCTCGATTTGCCACCAGCGGAGATGGCGCGTTACACAGTGCCTCCAGTTTGTCCTGCCACTGGTAGAAAATATCTGCCGGCACAACTCCGAGATCCACAAGAGAGGTCGCAAGATACGCAAACGCATGATACTGCAGCGGCGGCATAAGGACCACACAGTGCGCTCCACCAACACACGTCGGGGAGGGAAGTCCAAAGACGGCGTCTCGCAACACACGAAGCACAAAGGGATGCGTCATACGAGCATCATCAGAGATTTGTGCCAGAACCCCGTTGATTAATTGGACATACAGCTGAACATCACCTTCGCTCACGCGTGCCATTTGCATGTGAAAAAGAAATGTTGCGTAGCTGAGCGAGACACAGAACGGTCGTCCTTCCACATATGGTTCCTCCCGTGTGTAGTATGATGCCAGAGTGTGAAGCGTGCTCGGGGAATTAATATTTGGCTTCAGTTGCCGCTGCACCTGCTCCACACAGCGCACAAAGAGACGCTTATCTTCCTCTGACGCAGTCTCTAACAATTCAGTGGCGTCCCGTCGCTGCTGAACATGCGGTGCAGACCGGCTCGTCGCACCCGACGCAGAGGAACGGCGACTGTGTGCCGTGGTACTAGATTGCTGCGACCTTGTCGATCGATTAGCGACCGCAAAGAGATCCATTGGTTGTTGTTGCTGCTGTTGCGCTTCAACTATCCCACTGTTCTTAAAGGAAGAAGGCCTCACCCAACAGTGTGGTGTGGGTCAGCGTGGGGAAGTACGGTGCTGGTCTGACACACACGCGCACAAATACAAACAAGCGCGAGTTCACAGAAATAAAAAAAACAAGGATAAACCAACCAACAACTAAATAATAATAATATACACGTAAAGTCTAAAGCCGCGTCTCTGTCTTTTGCTATGGGTTTCCTGCAAAACCACGTTCACCTGGTACCCCCCACCTTATTGCGCTCTAGCCCGTATAGCAGCAGTCCTAAGAAGAGAGTGAAGGTCTCACAGATGTGTGAAACGAGAATGGGGGTGATACGTGTATGCTTGCATGTCAACCAGCGGGGTGACTCCCATCTCTCTCCAGCAGACGCCCACGAACAGAAGAAGGGTGAACAGTCCATATATATATATATATCCGCATGCAATGAAATCACAGAGAACAGAAATAAATAAATAAATTCAAAAATGTCGTTCATGCGGTGCAACGGACAGATTCGAAAGCATTTTTTCTTTGTTTTTTTTTTCTTTCACCCACCAAAATAGTATACATCGCAAAAGCTCCTCCTTGTCTGCGTTCCATTCAGAAACGTTTGGGCCTCCTTGTGGGCTCTGCCACAACACGCGCTGCGCGTCGAACTGCAGGCGGCAACGTCCTCCCTGCCGCCATTCCGCGTGTTACAGGAGGAAACTGCGCCACAGGCCTTGGCAACGTTGGCACGACACCCAGAAGCACCACTCGTTCCGTTCCGCGACTGTCACGTATCAAACAGGAATGGAGGCCCATTTCCGCACCAGCCTTTACGTGACGCACAGCGGACTTTTTGTGCAACGAAAGCGGTGACCCCCATGTTTGCAAGGTAGTACCCCCACCCACGGCGGTAACAGGTGCATCAACTCTCGACGGAGAACCACTTCTGGTGTCCTCCTCCAAATCCCTACGCTCATCCTGACGGTGGTAATCGCTGGTCCTGCTCATGTTCAACAGAGGTCGATAGGACATCGGACTATTCTGCCACGCACGCCACTGCAAGGATTCCAAGACACAGTCCAGTCCCCGCCCGGCAGAATCCGACAGCGGTGACGTACTGTCGTGCGAACGCGGGATTTCCCTCTCTTTTTGTCTTGATTGGGTTAGTGATAGTCGTGGATGCTTGTCGTGTTCTCGAGGGTCTTGTTGCTTCGGATGCGGTTCATTGTGCGACAGGGCCGCAGGTGTTGCGATAATAGGCTTAAGTGGCTCAACGTCGAGGCGATCCATCAGTGCATAGTGTTGTTGACCACGGCGCCATGCCGAAAAAGAGGAGCCAGCACTCTGAGACCTATCATGTGATGCTCGCACAGGCAGCCTTTGTTTTCCAGGCCCCACCACACTGCTATGTCCAGCTTCCACAATACGTTTACCCTTTCTTCGCCGAGCAGGACAAGGACTGGTGATCGGTGGCATCGCCTCATCCCCAGAGGATTCGTGATGGTGATCTTCTTTGTCGATGCTACTTGTCTTCTTGTGGCGCCTCCATCTTGAGCTTCTGCGTCGTCTCCACTGAGGGGTTTGGTCGCTCATCTTCACGGAACTATTGACAGAACTTCCACGTGCCACAGAGTTGGACGGGGTGCGTGCAACTGATGATGACCGCGGAGTCCCCAAAGGGACAGGCCCCGTGATAAGGTACGAGCCATTGTACAGCACCATGTTCTCCCGCCGCTCCACCTTTCGGCGCTCGTTTGCCTTCAACACCTCACTGACATCCACGCAAAGTATACCCAAGTGACCTTGCTGACTCATTCTTTGTTTATGATTTGCCTTCTAGAGAAGTTTGCTCAATTCCTTTGTGTCCCTCCCCACCCGTTCGGTCACTGCGGGTCACAGTGCCAGTGAAAAGCAGCAGCCGGTGGAACTGCAGATACGCGCAGGCACATACATACGTATGAGTGAGAAAAGGATGGAAAGAAAAAAATGTTTTTTTTTCCGTTTTAGAAACTTCATTACCAGCAGCAGCACCTCTATTTGACTCTCTCTCTCTCTCTCTCTCTCTCTCTCTCTCTCTCTCTCTCTCTCTCTCTCTACTACTACTAC